GGGTTGACATGTCCTGGGGTTGTTAACCAATGTCATAAAACAATATGTGTACTGACTGTTTAACGAGAAACTATTTGTTCTGTAAACCTTCACCTGAAACACAATAAAAAAAAAAGAAAACTTAAAAATAAAATAAAATGAAGACACTACAGGAATAAAAAAAGTAAAGTGGAAGCATAGGCAGAAACCTCGGAGGACCTTAGAGGCTACCCTGAAAAAAACCCCAATTCCAAAATAAGTTATAAAATGAAAACGCTGATGCTGCTGCCAAGCTAAAAGACAAAAATTACAAAGTGACACCTTTCACTTGCTCAGTTTAAAAGACACAATCTGTCCCATCACTGGAAAGACTTGATTTGAACCTGAATATTAAAGATGAATAAGGTGTCAAAGCTGATTTGTAAGTTGCTAAGCAATGCTGTACGCAAGTGCTTCTTAAGAAAAAGCAGCACTTCATACAAATACCTTCTTTACTGACTGTGAAAACCACTTTAGCTTTTATTGTGGTGTCTATTACTCCTTAAAAGCCTCATCTCAAACAAAAGAAGTAAAACATGTATTTTTTAAGTATTTTGCATTTGAAAATCAAATCCTACAAAATGAACACTCCAGCTCAAAGTAAACCCTCCAAGGATGTAGTGCGTTTCCCAAAAGAGGATGACATTACTGACTCTCTGCCAATAGGATATGTGCTTTGAAGTGACAGGAAAAGATTTCTGATGACTTGAATAGAGCCTTGTTGAGAAGGGTTAGTCAGGCTTGGGCTAGCCACGCCTGGAACATAGGAAAATAACTAACTTGGCTTTTATTATGAGCCAAGTCATAGTTAATTCTGATATTGAGCCTTCACGAGTCTTTTTTAAAATCTGCTTTTAAAATTTCTTAAAAGAAACTCAAGTCAGTTGCATTGTTATAAATATTTCTGGTTTCAAATCTGGAACACAATAGAAGTCACTGTGCAGCTTCTTCTGTTTGTAGCTGACCTGTCCTCCCTCATTTTCTGAAGTTCAACCTCATCCTATCTCTATACCACCCTAACTCTTCATCT